TCTCTTAAATCCTCTTCTGCTTCATCTATCTGATCACGTTTTGCTTGTATTTTTTCTTTTAGAGCCTCCATTGACTTTGAATGACCTTTATAAAACAAAGTAATGAAACTAATGACATATAATATTTCGTAATAAAATGCTAATATTATCTTATTTTATACTAACAATTTGTTATTAATAATATCCTAATTTCAAACTATAAAGTACTAAAATATCCTTTGTTTTTTATAAGCACTGAAGTGGTGTCACTATAACACTGTGATAGCTTATATAAACTGAATCTAGTTAGTACACAATAAAATCTAAAAGAGATTATCTTGGATTTAGTGATATAAATACCTTTTGGCACAGCACGTTGATGGTTACATAGAACTGCAACTGCTCGATTCGCCCGATTGTACGCTAAGATCTTTTCAGGTATTGAGGCATTTGGATCAGTGAGCTCATCCAACTGCCTTTGCAATGTTATAGAAGCATTATAAGTACGGAAAACTTTTGCGGTCAATCCTGGCATCAGATCTTTCAAATGCTCATTTAATGTTTGGGTATTTAGTCGGTCAAACAAATCATCACTATCTCTTTTGTTTTCCATAAAGAGTTCGAGATTCTTAAACACTCTCTTCTCAACTGGTACTTCATTATAATATCTAATAGAATCTTTACCGAGAAAATCAAATACAACCACATACTCTTTGCCATCCTTTTCTTTATGTAACTGAATGTGTTCCACTCGCAAAGAACAACAACCTACTGTATCAGCTTGATCATCATCTTTTTCATTACCAGCTCTCAAGGCAAGTCTATCAATGAAGTACAGGGCCACTGCCCGCTGCCTCACTCGCATCTCTTTTGCCTTCCAGTCATTTTTATATGTTTCTCTTATCTTGTCTATACATTTGTGTAGCTTTCTAGCTGTTTCATATTTCTGCCAATCTTTTTCCCCTTTTAACTTTGAACTTGGATTTAACATGACATACTTTGTTTGGCCTTGAACATTTTCTGTCCAAGATGCTAACCAAGTAACTGTATTATCATGTCTAACTTCTTTCCATCTGTGTCCTGGTGGAGGTTTAGGGATTTTACTGTCTTTTGAGCAATTTATTAAGACATCTTCAGGCATAACACGTCTCTTCAACATGCCCATCTTGGGGTGTTCTCCACGACCTCTGAATAAGCCCGGAGGTTCAATTCTAAAGTTGCCTATTTTTTCTTTATGTCCATCTATTGTACAAAAGCCGTATTCTTTTTGTATTTCTTCATTTTTTGCCTTAATTGCAGCTTTCTCTTCTTTTGTACGGTTTCGATTCTTCTCAGACACGCTTAGAAAATATGCATGCATTTCTTTAAAATCACATTTATTGAGATCCTTGATTAACTTAGCTTCTTCATGTGTCATCATTTTACGCCAATCGGCAAAAAAGTTTGTATTGAATGTTGACTTTGTTGTATAATCGTGGTCTAACATTCGTGCATAAAATCCAGCAACCTCTTCAGCATCCTGGGATAACTTCACGACTTTGCCATCATAACGGAACTTAACATTTTCAGGCAATGGTTCGTAGTCGGGTGCAAATACAGGACCTTTGTGTTCCAGGAAATTCCACTTTGTTCCATCATCCTTTTTTTCTTCTTCCCACCTATCGAAAGAACATTACATTATTATATAAATCCAAAATTAAATAAAACATTTTACTCTATAAAATACATATACTTGAAAGTTTGAATAAAATTGACATTTATCAATGTTACACGGCTTTGCAACTTAGGACACGTAAAAGATCTTATTCTTAATAACCTTATACCCAAAGTGACAAACATCTTGTTACGAACATAACCTAAAACACGTGTCAAGATAAATTTGAAAATAAGCGCCATCTACTGACATCCTTATTTAACATAACGAAAATTGCTGCAATCATATTTTAAAAATATCGTAAATATATTTTTTGTTGACGATAAGTTTTCAAATTAAATTTAATCCGAGCAGACCCACAAATTACGTGGCAAGATAACCTATTGCAGTTGTCACTTTTGCCCCTAAACACATTATATATAGGTTGACCAAAATATAACTTTTTTATGTTTATACTTACTATATTGAATTGTTGAAGGGATAAATATTGTAAGCATGCAAGTCAAAATCCATACATGGCAGCATTTACATTACTATTGCAGAAATAATATAGTACATTCAATATTAACAATATACACATCTGGATGGCCTTCATTTAGAACAAGGAGTGGTATTTTTCTTCTTTAATAATATTTCGTGCAAGCTAATTTGGTATAGTTATATTTGTATGACAAATACCGTGATAATACAAGATGTGGCTAAAAGGTTTGTTTGGCTGGTGAAAGGCCATTCATTTTCATATGAAAAAACTTATTTGCAAAGAACATGTGGAAACCAAGATTTTTAATATTCTAAATAAATATTTACCATTTCCAAACTTCCTGTTCTTCTTCTTGATTTTTTTTTCGCTTGGTGGGACTAGGACCATCATTTGGTTCTGTTTTTACCTTAGTTGATTTTGACTTTTCTGGTTTCTTTTTCTTTTTTTTGGGAATCTCTTCTTCGTCATCATCATCATAAGTTGGTTCTAGAAAGTGTTATTACTAAATTAGTAAATTAATACAGCTACTGAGATATTGATACCCCTGAGGTATTTCAGCTCTTCATATGTGTCAGAGCAATAAGTAAAGAAATTACTAGTTAATTGAAAAAAATATATTTTCGTAATTTAATAAATGTATTGTAATATATGTATGTAAAAATATATTTATGTCTAATATGGAGATTTTCCTACAAGGATAAGGATTTGAAAAATCTTTTTTCAAGTGTCTTAAAATTATTATGCTTTGTTGGCAACTTATAGTACTCAACAATATACCAATACAAACCCTTTTTCACTTTTTTCTTTGATTTTTTTCGTTGCAGCAATGGAGTATCCTCTTCACTTTCACTAGCCAAACGCTTTTTTGCACCCATCCGTTCCAACTATTACAAAAAGCAAATAAATATTAATTAACAAAGTTTCTTGTCACTCTAAAACTAAAAATGGCAGTGGCTGTTAAATATTATTTTATGTTGTTTTACTTTGGCATAAAGTGAATGGTGCATTATCGGATAACATATAAAAAAGCAACTACTAAAATAAAATTAAAAGAAACAAAAGATATAAAAGACTTGGTTATGTGACAATTGCTGAGTATAAAAATATGTTTTTATTTAGATAGAAAAAACAATACCAGTGGGGTATCCTCCTCACTTTCCTCTTCATGTGGCAGCTCAGAAAGAGGTTCATCTTTAAACTGTGACATTGAATAGTCACAAGATGAAACAGTTGTGTTGCCTGCATTAAACCCATCTTCACTTTCTTCCTTTATCTCTCTTTTTAATTCAGGTTCATCTATCTATAAATACAAATTTTAAACTATAAAAAGTAATAAATACATTTAAGCATAAATAGTAATGGATAAACTTATTAAATCTAATTTGTGTGCTGTGCTTGAATGATAATAAAAATAGGTAGTAAATCTTTATTTACCTGCATTGGTTCATCTTTAAAAGATTCTTTATAGTCTAATTCCGATTTTATTTTCTCCTGATGATCAGAACTCCTCTCTTTATCTTTGGACCTATAAATAATCAAAATATGAGCCATCTATATGTGATACACAGAAAGTATAGTCAAAATAAAATACTACAATAAAAAGTCCTAAAAAAAATAGGCACCTATGTTTGTCTTTAGAACTTGAGTGTTTATCACTACGATGCTTATCACTTCGATGGTGGTCCCTGTCTCGTTCTTTAGATTTGTCCTTATCTTTTGAAGAGGAAGAACTTTTGTGTTCCCTATCTCTCTCCTTGTCCTTAGATGACGATTTTTTTTCTCCATCACTGCTGCTATGCTTATGTTTGTCATGATCACTCTTTTCTCTGTGTTTCTCTTTGTCACTTCGGTGTTTATCTTTGCTGCTACGATCTTTGTCTTTATCCGAACGATCTTTGCTTTTTTCACTGCGTTCTCTTTGGTCACCGCGATCTTTATCTTTACTAGATGATTTGTGAGAGCTGCTATGATTTTTACTACTTGAATGTTTGTCTTTATCTTTATCTCTATAAAAATAAGGTTAGTAAACGTTAAAGTCATATTGTAATTATAAATGTAGTTGAAAGTAGAATGAGAAAGTTCTAGAATATTCACCTGCTTGAACTGCTGCTGTGTTTGGATGAGCTTTTGTGGTCGCGGTCTTTGTCGCGGTGCTTGTCTTTGCTGGACGACTTGTGACTACTTTTATGCCTGTCAGAACTGCTGTATCCGTTGTGAACCCCGTTCACGTGTTCATTTTTATTGCCGTTTACCTTTCCCTGTGAAAAGATTAAATGCTATAACAACTAACCTATAAAAATATTTTTTTAAACTTTTAATTTTAGTTAGTTAATGTTTTTATAAAGGATAAAACACACTCATACAAAATGTTACAATAAAAAAATTGCCACCCAACCGACGCTTCTAAAGGACTAGAGAATTGTCGTTGACGCCATATTGGGACTTAGAAAATTTTCGCTTCGAATCACTACTGAACATCAGTAAACAAGAAAATTCAGTGATTGTTTAAAATTAGATGATGTATCAAATGAAAGTACAAACAAAATTTGGTTAATATGGATACTTACTGCTTCACAATCATTATCACTGGCTGGATTTTCAACACTCATTTTGCCTACGTATAATTTCCCTTGTGCGAGATTACATGAGGTCGCGGGCCGGTCGAGCGAACGCAAATTCTAAGTGCTGTAATGAGACGAATGCGCATGCGCTATCCGGGGTTATAGACAACTTCAGGTGAGTCGGTTCAATGTTCCCATTTGTACAAATTTCAGATCAATGGTAATGTTGCTCTAATGTAAAATAGCTTCAATCGATTTTGAGTTTTGAATGTATTATCATTCTAAACCTGTTCTTTGTAAATTTCACTTTATGACATATAAGTATATTTTAGATCTAAAATTGGATAAGCCACAAAGTTACTTTATATATTTATTTTTGTCTTAAGATTTTTAATTTACAAGTAAAGAGTCTGAATGTCTTTCCTCATCAAATGGTGTGTCTGCTAATCTAGCAACGGCGCCACTCGAACTTAGGATTGCATACGATGACAGATGTCATATGCCAGTTCAGTTCATCAGTTGTTTGTCATTGAGTCTGTTATGTATTGAATTCAGTTGATTTGATTGAATACGTGTGTTATATTAAGGTATATAATTAAATTGTTTCGAAAAAATATATATATTATACCGAAAAGCTAGTCGGTAAATTACTTAAAAAGATTTAAGTAGAGAGGCAACATACTAAAGACTTACATATTTAAGTTTCAAAAAGGTTACATTCAGTTAACATTTACAAAATACCAGCCTACAATAAGGTGTTTAATATGAGTACGTTAGATAATTCCGACCTAAATACCCTTACCGACAATAACGATGGTAAGGGAGGGACAACCGACGCCGATAGTATCGAAAATAGTCGGAGCAAAGGGGAACACGCAAGTATAGTTGCTGCTCATTACAACCACATAGAAGACAAGGGGTTAAGAGAACGATTTAATTCTCCTATTTTCTATTTGAGAAACTTTAATAATTGGGTAAAAAGTGTATTAATACAGGAGTACATAGATAAAGTGAAGGAAAAGGACTATGGTAAAGCTTTGAAAGTCCTTGATATTTGCTGTGGTAAAGGAGGTGATTTAAGTAAATGGCAGAAAGCTCGAGTAGACCATGTTGTTTTTGCGGACATAGCCGAAGTGTCTGTACAGCAGTGCCAAACACGCTATGAAGATTTGAAGCGTCGACAAAGCCATTTGTTCTCTGCTGAATTTATTGCTGTTGACTGCACTAAAGCTGCCTTAAGACATAAGTATAGGGATCCTTCTATAAACTTTGATTTGGTTAGTTGTCAGTTTGGGCTGCATTATAGTTTTGAAAGTTTGGGTCAAGCAAGAAGAATGCTTACAAATATATCAGAATGCCTAAGACCTGGTGGATATTTCTTTGGTACAATACCTAATGCATATGAAATTGTTTCCAGAGCACAAAAGTCACTCAATAATATGTTTGAAAATAGAATATACAAAATCAAATTGTTGTTTGACCCTAAAAATGGTTATCCCCTCTTTGGTGCTAAATATGACTTTCATTTAGAAGGAGTAGTGGATTGTCCAGAGTTTCTAGTTAATTTCAAGTTATTTGTAAAACTTGCTGCAGAATATGGACTTGAATTAGTATATCAAGCAGGGTTTTCTGATTTTTATAATGATTATTCGGTAAATTATAAACAATTGATACAAAGAATTATGTGTTTTGAAAGTTATCCTCCACCACATGGGAAAGAATTAATGGGAGATGAGGCTGAATATGAACATGCTAAAGTATTTTGGGAAAGCAATAATTTGAAGACTGAAGATACTTGCCTTGGTACTATGAGTTCCTGTGAGTGGGAAGTTGCAAGTGAGTCTACAAACACTCATTTCACCTTAAATTTGTTCATCTTTTCATTTTATTTAATGGACATTGTTTGTTTCAGCAATTTACATGGCATTTGCATTTAAGAAATGTAAAACTTCTCGGGATGCCAATGGAAAGACAACATATATTAGTTCCTCCTCAAAAACTGAATCTGGAGAAAAAAAGTAGTCAATAGTTAACAAAATTGTATTAAGTTTACTATGCACTTAAAACATTTATGTTTAAGTTTTATTGTATTTACATACTCTTTAATTGATTAAATATTTAGTTATTATCATTTTAAATTATTCCTAAAGTGCATTTTAAGTGGTATAATATATGAAAAGTAATTTTTATTAGTTACCATTTAATTTTGATTCCAAACTTAGAATGGATGTGGATGTCCCCCCTATTGTATGTATCACCTAGATAAATGTCTGAATGAATCTTTAAGAGATTACATTTAGCTAATTCCTAGCTTATTGTCATAAGATATCCTGAGATTTAACTGATTCCAGTTAATCTAGTTGCTTTTATTACTTATTCATCTTGTCATGCATAAAAATTTTAGCAATATCTATAAATATGGTAACATTTACAATACAATGTAAAATATCTAGTGATGTGATATCAGATATCTATTGTTATAACAAGTCCTCACATTATTATTCCTACAACCTCTAAAAGCTCCACATCCTACTTAATCTTCTTCCAGACTATGTTCTATGCATATGCCACATTTCAGCAAGATCTATGCACCTGTTTTCGAGATACCTTCAAACATCCAAACATTTGCATTTATAATATTAGTAAGATATCAATATAAATCTCGAGAATATTGTGACTTACTTGAGACTAAGTGAAGATTTTATTTCACTTGAAGCTTAAGTCAATATGTGTATTATTAGTTAAGAAATGACTATAAAAATAAACTTTTTATTCTCTTTCAAATATAAATTCTTTGTACATATTTGTAAGTTGACAAATACGATATATTCTGACGGTCCTTAAGCACTAATATGATGTGTGAAACAATTCTGAATGGAGTAGTATCATAACATTAATAACAATAAGGTACCTGTAGACATTTTACTAGAAGTTCACTAATTGGGACCATGGTTTTACAATTTAAATTGTGAATTTAAGTTTTCCAATAGCCAATTTTCGATTTAATATGAAATAATATTTTAAAAATTCATGAATAAATTAATAATATACAGATTATATCTTTTAGTATTTTAATTCTAGATTGGTACTTAAATTAAAATATGCGTTTTAGGAGGACGTAAATATTTAAATGATGTATTAAATACAATTCAAACAATGTCACCTCACTAGTTTACAATAAAAACAATGTTAATTATATTTATTAATCTTTTTTTAATTTACCCTGCTAGTAAAAATATGGTAAGATCGAAGAAAATTAAATAATTTGGCAAGCAGAGGTAGGTAGAGTAACTGTAAAGTGTGTATTGTCTGCTTTTTGTATATTGTTCACAATATTTAGGCCTGATTTGGGACAATGTTATTATCTAATTTCAGTCCAAAATTTAGATATTCGTGCTTTTCATATGAAAATTCAATAAAGCGAAAAGAAAAAATGTTTTTGATACAACATATGATACGAATGGAACGTGTTATATTAAACGGATTGTTTCGAACCTACAACCATAAGGATAAAGCTCCTAAACCATGAGGATAAAGATTAATCAGAAATTACTAAACTACATACATGCTAATTTAAATCAATTGACATCGCGATGCAAAGTCCTTGTCTAAATATGTGATCACGTCGTGTTGATAAAACATTTAAACGAATGAAATACAACAACAAATTTAACAATAAGCAGTCATTATATTGTATTGTGAATCGTCTGTTTTGTTTGAGCAAGCGAGTTGAGTCGGTTCGACAGTGGAGCGCGGTTTCGTGAGTCGGGCTCCGGGGCGACAGCGGCGGCGGTGGCGGTGGCGGGGGCTCGGTTCCGTTACGTGTGCGCTCGCGGCGGCCACGGTGTGCGGTGCGCGGTGCGGTGCCACGACGCGGACGTGCTTCACTCAGTTCGTGCGCGAAAGTTATTACCTGCGTCACTTTGATCGCATTTCCACTACACGCGAACTTCTGTTGATGCGGTTGGCAAAAGTGAAACATTCCAAAAATCAACGATGATAAGTGTTCCCTACGAAGTATTCCGGTTATAAATAACAAATTAGAATAAATGCAACACAACCTTGTGTTGCGAGAAAGCGAGTGACGTCAGAGTGACCGGCCGGGGCGATCATATGTTGTACGCGGATGCAGTGATGGAATGTGGTGTGTTGTTGTGTTGATATGCAATGGTGCATTGTGTATGGTTACCTGGTCTGCGGCCGTAGCTTCGTCCCCGCGCGAGTGTCCTGCAGGAACCATGCGTAGAAAACGATGAGCCAAGATGCTGAGAGCTTGGTAATATCATTTTTATATATTAGTATTTGTTATGTTGTCGCCTTTTGTCACTTTCAGATTAAAGACTTTAAGCTCAACTAACGTGTGGTTACTATGATGAATAATGTAATATTGACCAATTTGTACGTCTTAAGGCGATTCAATCATCTATTTATAATGATGATATTAGAATGTAAACGTTACCTACGCTCATACAACAGTGTCCAAGGTCACTGAAATGCTTGGAATGACATGGCTTGTTATTTTATTGGAAATGTGGTTAAATTTTCTTAAAAATATATCCAACTTAAATAATGTTATAAATGTAATAAAATTCAGTTATTCAATTAAAATATACATACACACATTAACAAGACAATCATAAATTGTACGATAAGTTACGATATTCATAAGATCTACCTACAATGTGCTGATAAAATACAAAGTGGCTTACGTACTATCTTAAATGTATACTACATAAAAGATTTTAACTTCTTTGTAAGATCATTGTTAGTTATTATTGATTAATTTAAATTGCGCATTTTCAATGGCACAGATTTTGGAACTAAATTTCATCGGCATTTATATTTATGTACTTGTCAGGTTGCTAAGCCGTAACGAAAACAAATATCTTCAGATGTATGTGAAGGTATTGACTGAGAATGTTGTTTCGTTTTGCGAGTCATTACTTTATTATACAACAGTTTCATCATTCCACAGGTTCTTCGAAAAGCCAGGGATCAATAAGCATGGCTTAGGGAAAATAAATAAACTAGCCTAATCTCAAAACACACAGGACCTCCTTAATTTTAATCTTACGCCCACGCATATCCGTGGCAAGCAGCGTGGATTGTTTCATTCTCTCTCCACCTAAAACCCCATAAAGTTTATTTGCAACTTATTGGTACCGAGAATATAAGTACCTACATATTATGGAACATTGTGCACCCGCATTGATCACAGATTACCCTTTAAAATCATAACCTTATAATAACGTTGTGCATCACTTGCTTTTCTTTGCGCAAAAATACTTGTTAGAAAGAATATTCAAAGAAAGCGAAAGGGCACCAAAAATGAGAACAAGGGAAAGTGTAGTGATACCCGTGAGATGTCATAGCGTGTGTAGAGTGTTTCGCAGCAAACCGATGTCCAAAACGCCTAGAATATATAGCTATAGTCAAAAGTTATAAAAATATAGTAAGGTACTCTGTCACGACGATATTACCAAATAGGGTGCTCAGAGAAACCAACAACTAATACCGTCTGAAACTACTTTCACCGGATCTTATTCTGACCAGTGCACGAAGTTTTGAGGTAGGGGAATATTACGGCATTTACAATAAATAAATTAATTAAATAACACGTATCATTACGTTCTTCGACATGTAATAAGACGTTTCAAATTTCAAGTGGGATACAGAAGTAAAAATAGTGTGAATTATGAAAATAAAAACAAAATTTTTGGTTTAACAATAATTTGTACATAGTTAAACTTTTGTCGGGATTTCCTTTTAAGTATCCGGTAGGTATTTGAGATTGAAAGTCCCGCTCTTTCGTGTAACATGTGTTGTTAGGTACTATCGGGGAATCTTGCGGGTTCTATCGTAAAATAATCATATTGGTGGTATTGTTTGAATCAATATTTCAGTCTTGTTAGTCATAAACCAGTCCGTTTCAATATTTAGCATTTCAAAAATTTAAGTTCAATTAATTAAACTTATTGTTTATTTCCAAATTGGATTAAAATACGGATTATTTTATTCAAAAGGTGGCAAACGAGCGAGCGGCCACTTGAAATCGCTGAAAATTTTTCGCAATTGCATATGCATTGCCTACCTTTAATCGACGGAGGAGAGGATGCACAGAAAGAAAAAAAACCCTTCGCATGCATCCCCTCATCCGGAAAGTCCACTTCCACTACCCATCCTTTCCTTATAAGAAAAAGGGTGGGAAGTGAAAGAGGACTGAAATTAGGCCTCTGGTACGCAAATTACATGCATAAATAACAATATACAAGGCAATGTACTTACTTGCAGCATACAAACGGAACGGTTATTTATCGCAGTAACACGTAGCGTAGTAATTACATTCCTATTGCAATATTTGTTGTCTTGTTTCAGCAATTTCACTTGTTTCGTAAGTGTTCGTGGGACCCGTTGTTATTAATACACAGAATGTGACGCAATAATTATTCTATCGGCTTTTTAAGCAAGTATTAAGCTACATTATGTACGAGCAGAGAGAGCCCTCTACTATCCCATAATATTAACGTTGGGGTATATTTTACTAAGAAACTATCGTTTTTCAGATTTGGCCTTTGACACAGTAATTTCAATTTATTTCTAGATTTGTTATGTATCGTAATAATCTAATTTTATGGGAAAAACAAAATCATTGATTTTTTATTAATTTTTAACACAATCTTTTAGAATATTATAAAACCAATAAGATATGTATAATATTCCTTATTTATAATACATTAAATGATATAATTTGTTTTTAAATTATACTTTACTAATTATGAGAAGGTCGTAATTATCTTTGCGACCCCTGCTAAAGTACTGCTTTTGCTAGTATAATTTAAAAGCGGAACATTAATCCAATTACCAACAACTGTTAAAAATCATAAAATTTGACATTTATTTATACAAATCCTAGCTAATGTGACTATAATTTTAAGGGGTTCTCACAGTTGTGTCTATTCTTATTTTAAAATGCGCACTATAATTTACCAACCGCATTTTTGAGTAGAAAGTGCGAGTAAATGACGCGCCTTAACATTTACTTCCTGGTCGATGGCTTGTTGGCTTCTGCTGATATTAAATAATCCATAACCATTAATTGTACGTCAATGGCTAATATCATATACTTACCCATAATTATTTCATAGTTAGCTATAAAATTATACGCTTTCAAGAAGCAATTTATAATGCTTTCCTAGAGGTGTAAAAATCTGTCTTGCCAGGAGTCTGGCCATATTTAGTATTATCTTATAAAATTTAGTTGCCAGCCAGAAACTTTGTTATACAATAATCACGATACAAAGCACCAACTTCAAATAGGATTGTCTTAATCCATCTAGTATATAACATTTAAACCTACTAACGTTGGGGAAAATATGATCCTAAATTATCCTGTGCACCGTTGAAAACATTTAATTTTCCTTATGCTGTTAATGCTATAACTTAAAATGTTGTGCTGGCTCAATTAATAAACCAAAAGTTGTCAACTTAGGCCGGCTTGACGTGACGACGTCATAAACCCCAAGCTGATAAGTACAATGACATCAGAACGACGAAACGATTCGGAAAAGCCGAGAGCGTTCCGCGCATGCGTATTGCCCCTGCTCTTGTCTCGCGTATACGTTCAGCTCGGCTCACGGGTCGCTCGCGTACTCAAGCTGGCGTCTCAGTCAGTCACACAACGACACCCGTCGCGGAAGGGCATTTTATTTCTCTCATTTGCAAATTAAGAATACATCGCTGCCCTCTTATGCATATCGTTTGTGGTTATAAATACTTTTGTAAAATTCTGTTTACAAAACTATATGTGATAAACATTTATTTAGTGAATCGTGATAATAAACAATACCAGTTTAAAGTTTTGTCGTGTTAATCTTTAAAAAGTTATTTTGCATGGTAATTAACCGTCAGGTACATCAATTAGGGTTCAACTATCACAGGATGTAGTCAATGCCAGGTTTAATTTATAGGTTACGACAGTACGTATTGTTTTTGTCATTTCTAATTAGTTTTATAATTATTTTATCGTTATTAAAAATCTATACATCAATTTATATATCAAGCCGTTTAAGGCTAAGCAAATACAGAACACATTAATTGCTTATCAATGTAATTATAGTATTCGTAAAAAACAGCGCCTAGACTCTTGAAC